TTCGAGGAGGTCTTTATTTCTTCATCATATGTGAAGAACAGTTTTGCTGGATGTAGTATTCTCAGTTGGCAGTTTCTTTCTTTCAGAACTTTTGAATATATCATCCTACTCCCTTTTGGCCTGTTTCTGTTGAGAAATCTATGGGGCTCCCTTGTTCGTGATAAGGTGCTTTAGAAGCTTTCAAAATTGTTTGCTTTTAGAAAATTTTATTATAATGTGTCTCAGTGTAAGCCATTTTGGCTTCATCTCATTGGAGTCCTTTGAAGTTATTGAAATTCATTTCCTTCCCCAATTTTTAAAAATTTTCTGGCCATTATATATTCACTAGAGGTCCGGTGCATGAAAATTCATGCCTTCGGGGGGGTCCCCCACCCTGGCCTGCACCCTCTTGTAGTCCGGGACCCCTTGGGGGATGTCCACCTGCCTGCGGCTGAGGCCCGCTCCCTGGGGGGATCGGGCCTCAGCTGGCAGTCAGACATCCCTCAGGCAGCCTGGGAGCCCTTGGGGGATGTCCAACTAACAGCTTAGGCCTACTCCCTGTGGGTAGGACATCCTCAGCACTGCTGCAGAGGCGGGAGAGTCTCCTGCCACCGCCGCCGCCACTATGCTGGCCAACCATGAGCTGGCTTCTGGCTGAGTGGCACTCCCCCTGTGGTTAGTGCACGTCATAACTACTGGTTATTCCCAGTTTGTTCTGACATTAGGGTCAATTTGCATATTACCCTTTTATTATATAGGATAAACTCTCTGATTCTGCCTCTCTACTTCTTCTTGGACTTCCATAATGTATATATTGTTCTGGTTGATGGTGTTCTATGAATCCCTTAAACTTTCTTCACTTTTCTCAATTCTTTTTCCTTTTTGTTTCTGACTTGATAATTTCAAATGACCAGTCTTACTAGTTACTGTTTCTTTCTTCTGCTTGATCAAGCCCATTGATCTCCTCTAGCAAGCTTCTCAATTCAATTACTGTATTCATCTCCAGAATGTTTTTTTTTTAGTTTCTCTGTTGATATTCTAACTTTGTTCATGTATTATCTTGAGTTCATTTAGTTGTGTTCTCTTATAGCACACTGAGCTTAAGAGGATTAGTATAAATTCTTAGGTAATTCACAATCTCTGTTTCTTCAGGATTGGTTCTGAAGATTTACTGTTTCTTTGAGCAATGTCTCCCTGTTTTTTCATGGGTTTAGTTACTTTGTTTTGTTTTGTGTATTTGAAAATGCTTTGTACTGGAGAGGAACTTCACCAATTAGCCTGGCTAGAGATTCTTTAGGGAGAGGGTGTTTTTTCAAACTTTTTATGGGGGATGCATCTTCTCTGGGCTTCTACATGAAGTTTCCCAAATACAGAGGTTTGTGGGTTTCTTTGTCAGGAGTTCATAGTCTCTTGTTCCCTTTGGCTGGCTCTGCAGTAAGCCACTGAACTTTCTTTTATCTTCTGTGGCCCCAGGCATTCAAGGTATAACAGTTCCCCATTAGTGTTCCAAGATAGATAAGGCAGAAATTAGTCCTTTGGGCAGTCTCCCTAAAAGAAAGAATGTTGGATGTATGTTCCACTCTTCTTTTTCCCTTCCAATGGTTAAGCCATGAGTTGAGTTTTTTCTCTTTAATCACAAGCAGTGATGGCTTATGGGAGGGGCTGATGCAGATGAAATGAAATGGCTTTTTTTACCCACTACAATGTGACTATTCTTGGCTTTGAGCCTACCTGGGGTACTGTGACTTCCTAACTGGTTTCTGGTGTTCTCAAAAGGCTTTTAAAACACATATTGTTGTTAAGTTGGTATCTCTATGAAGGAATGACATCTAGAGTTTTGTATTCTGGCACCTTGGTGTCATCACTCCCAATATAATATTTAAAAAATTAAGGGCTATTTAACAATGCAGATAAATGTTTATAACAACACTAAGTAAAAAAAAAAAACCACAGAATTTCCCCAGCTTGGGCCCTGGTCAGGGCATGTGAAGAAGGCCACCAATTGATGTGTTTCTCTCACATCAATATTTCTCTCCCACTCTCTCTAAAAATCAATGGAAAAATATCCTACCCCGCAGAATTTGATATTTATTGAATTTAGCCATGTAATACATACCTCTTATAAAGATGAAAAAGACATATATGAAAAAAGAAATCAGTTGTGCTAGTGTGGTAACATAGGTGATGCTATTTTTCCTATCAATCTATTTAAGATTAATACTTGTATTTAATAGTTTAAAATAATATACATATAGTGTTAACTTTTCACTATTAAATATCTAGGACAAGTATAAATTTTAATATGAATATTACTTACCTACTATTTAATTGCTTCTTTATAATTTCTAAATTTACTGGTGGAAATGAAATGGAAGTATCAAACTTCTTCACTGTTTGGAATTCACTACTGTGAGAAAGATCTAGGTTTCTTCCCTAAAAATAATATTAAAATTAGTTTTCAACATTCGTTAATCTTACAATTATTAATAACATAAAAGCAGATTATATGCTTCAAGATTTCACTAGATCAAAATTCTATGCCACTGACATTTTTCATAGTTACAATAAAATATTTTTAAATTCTCAGTTTTCAAATAAAGAAGTTTAAGTTAACATGTAAGAGGCAAATTACAAAATCTTATTTTTCTTTTTCTTTAATCCTCACCTGAGGACATGGCTTTAAAAAATTGATTTTTAAAGAAAGAGGAAGAGAGAGATAGAGAGGGAGAGAAAGAAACATCGATTGGTTGTCTTCCATATGCATTTGACTGGGAATCAGACCCACAACCTAGGTGTGTGCCCTGAACAAGAATCAAACCTGAAACTTTTTGGTGTATGGACTGATACTTCAACCAACTGAGCCACCTGGACAGGGCACAAATTTTATATTTCACAAAAACATGGTTCTCGGTGTTTTTAAAGCTAGTTTGGTTTATTATCTAAAGTAAAAAGGAATTATGCAAACCTGAGTAGTTAAGAATAAGTACTGTGGCATGTTTTCCCTCAAAAGTATTTTTTTAATGTTGTTATACTGATTTTAATAAAAAAGGGGGGGCGGGGGGAGGAGAAACAGGACTAAGCCTGTTATAGTCATAAATAGCCTTCTAAATCCCTGGTCAGAAACTTCTAAATTACAACCAAAGACCAACCTTTACTTAGTTTTTTAGTTTTAATAACATGGAGATTTTTACAATACTTTCTTAGCATTTTTACTAAAAGATTAAATAAAACCTTGTATTTTTATAGTATTATACAATTTATAAGCACTGTGATTTAGATCATTGTAATTTTGAGCATTACAGACTACTCAGTTAAGTAACATTATCATTCCCATGTTATTGATTTAGGAAACTGAGATTTAGAACAATTAAATAATTTGCACAAAGTCATATAAATATTTATAGAGCACTCTCAATATCAGGGACTGGGGGATGTAACACTGAACAAGATAGTTAATAATTCTTAACTTCATGGGACGTATATTTAATTTTTTAAATATAATTTTTTATTGATTTCAGAAAGAATGGGAGAAGAAAAGAGAGAAACATTAGTGATGAGAGAGAATCACTGACTGGCTGCCTCCTGTACACCTCATACTGGGGATGGAGCCAGAAACCCCTGACCAGGAATCAAATCATGACCTCCTGGTTCCTAGGTTGACACTCAACCACTAAGACACATTGGCTGGGCTGGAACGTATATTTTAGTGGTAGTGTTCGAACCCAAATTCAGAACTTCTGATCCCAAGTACAATATTCTTTTTGTTTGTGAGTTTTGTTTTAAACCCATTTGTTTAAACTTCACATTTAAGAAACTTACCATATACTATATACTAGTACTGTCAGTTACTATACAATTAAAGATGAAGATACAGCCCAGCCAGCGTAGCTCAGTGGTTGAGCATCAACCCATGAACCAGGAGGTTACAGTTTGATTTCCGGTCAGGGCACATGCCCCGGTTGCGGGCTCGATCCCAAGGTGGGGCATGCAGGAGGCAGCCGATTAATCATTCTTTCTCATCATTGATATTTCCATCTCTTTCTTTTTCTCCCTTCCTCTCTGAAATCAATATATATATATATAAATAAATATATAAATAAAGACACATTCCTTTCAAGTAGCTTGTAATAAATATGTGGAAAGTGTTTAAAATCTAGTGGGAAAAGCATGTATGTACATAGTGTAGTGGGTTAAATAGTGGCCTGCCAAAAGATATGTCTATGTTCTAACCCCTGGAACTTGCAAATATGAACTTACTTGGAAAAAGGGTCTGTGTGGGGTATAATTAAGTGAAGCATCTCAAGATGAGATCATCCTAAATTATCAAGTTGGCCTGAAATCCATCAAGTGTCCTTATAAGAGACACTGTGTAGAACAGTGGTTCTCAACCTTGGCTGCACATTAGAATCACCTGGGAATCTTTTTAAAATGCTGATTCTGGGCCTCATACTCCGGAAATTCTGTTTCTTTGTTACTAATGTTGCGGCCCCACCCCATAACAAAGAAACAGAATTTCCGGAGGATGAGGCCCAGAAATCAGGATTTTAAAAAGATTCCCAGGTGATTCTAATGTGCAGCCAAGGTTGAGAACCACTTGGGTGGAAGCACAGCAAAGTCCATGTGAAGAAGGCAAAGGAGTAATGTAGTCACAAAGCAAGGAACACCTGGAGGTACAAGCCCTCTAAGGCAGTGGTCGGCAAACTCATTAGTCAACAGAGCCAAATATCACCAGTACAACGATTGAAATTTCTTTTGAGAGCCAAATTTTTTCAACTTAAACTATATAGGTAAGTACATTGTTATTAACTTAATTAGGGTACTCCTAAGGCTTAGGAAGAGCCACACTCAAGGGCCACATGTGGCTTGCAAGCCGCAGTTTGCCGACCACTGCTCTAAGGTGTGTTCTAGTTTATCCCTGTAGAAAAGGCAAAAAAGGCATTTTCCTTGAGAGCCCTCAAAGGGAGCATAGCCCTGCAACACCCTGATTTCAGACTTCCAGACTCCACAACTGTGGGTGAATAATGTCTCTTGCTTTAAGCTGTCACATTTGTGGCAATTTGTTATAGGAGCCACAGGAAACTAATACATGACATAAAAAAATATTACCTTTATGATTTTAACTGCTTTCCTCATTTGCTGCTGTTCCCAAATATCTTGATTTTCATCTTCCTGACTTTCTTCACTTGTTTCTTCATTTCCGGTTGCTAGGAAAAAACAACAACAGTTCATGTATAAATATTCAATATTTTTCCAATTCTAATACAGCAGCTAACGTTTTTGGGGGGCTTATTATGTGCTGGCTTAGCAGCCTTTCAGATGTGTTAACTTATTCTTCACAATATTTACTCTCATTTTGTAAATGAGAAAACTCAATTATTAGAAGGTTAAATAACTTGTCTGAAGACAGTGTTGAAGCTGGGCCTTGAATCTATCAATTTAACTCCAGAAACTGTATTCATCACCCAACTGTCCCACTCAAAACATCATAGACTCATAAAAAAAAAAAGCCTGGGGAAAAAAAAGAAACATTTGATTTTTCCTATCACTTTCTCAATTCTGCATGAGAATCTAAATATTTAAAAATAATTTTGGGGTTATAAGGAACCAACTCTTACTCTGAAATAATAGTATTTGAAGTAACAAAAATGTTGGCAAAACATAATATTGTTTATAAATGAGAAATGTAAAAATAGTCCTTTGAGATCTAAAGATTATTGGTTGAGGAAATTGTTTATTATAGCAGGGAAGATTTTAATACCTGACACCTAAAATCCCTGAAGATGTTACACGTTTAAAAAATAATCTTTATACGCCCTGGCCAGCATGGCTCAGTTGGTTGAGCATTGTCCTGTGCATTGAAGGGTCATTGGTTCAATTCCTGGCCATGGCATATGCCCAGTTCTCAGGTTCAATTCCCGATTGGGTTGTGTGGGGGAGGCAGCTAATCAATGTTTCTCTCTCACATCAATGTTTCTCTCTCTCCCACCCCTCTCCCTTTCACTCTAAAAAAACCAAACACCACAAAATCAATAAAAACCCATCTTTATAAAGGTGACAA